TCACAACATATGCCATCTCAATGCACTTTCCAGTTCAACCAGTTCATCCAGTCAGATTGACTCAAAGTTTTCTATCTAAGGGAAACCAGTTAATCTCTCATTGACTCGAATGACCACATCCCTTCACTCTTCATTCTCTTACCTCTGTTCAGTTTAGAATTTCTTTGTTTTCTTTTTTTCCTCTAATAGTCCTCCATAAGACCTGTTTCTGTTTAGCTGCAACTAGAGGTGTCAAAAATGTTGATACTTGGAAAAGTATTTATACTAAACACTGTATCTAAATACTAATTTATAAATACTAATTTGGCATGGTATCGATATTAAAAGGTTTATCTTTGCTACTGCTGATTTTAGATATCTGGATTATTTGTTCACTAAAGGAATAATGACTCAGACAGCTTTTAATCTTTTCTTAGATTTGGAGTTATTTATTTTGCATTTATCATCTACAAATGTCGTGAAATTATATTCCATGCTGAAAATGAAAATGTTTTTTTATTTATTTAATGCAAATAAAAGCAAATTTCATGCCTTTGATTATTTATCATTTTTTATTCTCAAAACATATTAAAAGATAAGGAAGTTTTGTGTCGAGATGCTAGAAGCTTACAGCTTGAAGGATCTCTGCAGACCTGTTAATGATAGAAAGCCGTTTATTGGAGTCCTCAAAGAGACGGACTGTTTCTGGGCTTCCTGTCTGCTGCTCGATCAGACTCAGGCTTCAACCCGTCAACCTCCCACAACACTCAACAGGAAAACGTGTTGCAATGAATGATGTTAGCCTCCGACCCTCACGGACGACACAAGGGAGCTCTGTATGGCTTCCAGACGGCCGGGCAGGAGGTTCACAGCTCAGGCGGAGCGTGTCCTCATCCTGCAGCCACAACATGCATCAGGTTTCCTCATTAAGGCGTCAATAAGCCCATTACTCCAACTACAACTAACCTGCTCCTAACTTTTTGTTGACATTGGTCTCCTAAAAAATAATAAAACAGACATTTAATTGGCTATAAAACCTTTGCTATGAACACTTTGTCCATCCAGGCCTTTTCCTGCACCGTCTGAATCACTCATTCACAAGAGAAGTGCTCTGTGGTGAAAGGCTGTCCAACCAAATCCATGCAGGAATTCATGGCCAATCTCAGGGGTCTGAGATGCACCAAGGAGAAGAAACCGACTGTTGCTCAGTGGTCCTAAGTTCTCTTTTCACATTAAAATAAAGATTTTGTTTATTTAGAAAATCAAGTTCCCAGAATCTGGGGGAAAAGCAGACGGTTCAATAATCAGATCTCAATGACGGCTTGGCTGCCATGTTATGGAGGTTACTAAATTTCCAGTGGCATTGGGGCAAACTATTCTCCCCAGTAAAATAACTGGCCTTCATGCACAGTTACAGTGGCTCAGATGCTTTAACACTTTGTCCCAAGTGGGGTCGCGAGGGGTGTTGGTTCCTATCTCCAGCAGTCAATGGGCGAGAGGCGGGGTCCACCCTGGACAGGTCGCCAGTCCATCGCAGGGCAACACAGAGACACACAACCATTCATCCACACCTAAGGAGAATTTAGAGAAGCCAATTAACCTAACAGTCATGTTTTTGGACTGTGGGAGGAAGCCGGAGTACCCAGAGAGAACCCATGCATGCTCAGGGAAAACATGCAAACTCCATGCAGAAAGACCACAGGCCAGGGATCAAACCCGGAACCTGCTTGCTGCAAGGCAGCAGTGCTACCCACTGATCCACTGAGCAGCCCGCTTTTGGTTTTACCTGCTTAAAAATGTACTGCGTTAAAAAAGCAAAGCATCAATATACTGAAGCTTTTCTCTCTATCCAGATCCGTTCAGGACAGGAAAGAATCTGACTTTACTTTGCTAAATTGGTTCTATTTTTATATTATTTTTCTTTATTTAATCTGCGTTAACAGCAAACCTAATTTCAACCATTCTTCAACTGTGATCTAAATGCCCAGAGCTGCAATTATAGAGCTCACAAATACAAATACAGCAGCTTAGAAAAGTTTTCACAGCTGAAACTTTTCCACGTTATCTTTAAATCACAAGTATTTTTTATTACAATTTAATGCGAAAGACCCAAACAATGTGTTTTATAAATATATGTAATATAGACAGATAAAAAAAAAACCTGTAGAGGGCATTGTGCAAAAGTATTCAGCCGCTCCAAGTCAGACTTTTGTGGGTCAGCTGCAGTTCTTTTACGGTTTGTCTCTACCAGCTTTAGCATCTAATAACCATGATCAGCTCAGTCAGATTAGATGGACAGTGTTTGTGAGGAGCAGTTTTTAGACTGGGTTCAGGTCTGAACTTTAACTAAGCTATTCTAACACATGAATTTAAACCGTTCTGGCTCCATGTTTCAGGTCGTCCTGCTGGAAGGTGAACCTTCGATCTTTTCCAACATTTTTTTTCCCCTGGATTTACCTCTAACCCTCCTCCCACTCCCCCCAGAGCATGATGCTGCCACCACTATATCTGACTGTGGGGATGCTGTGCGTTAGTTCTCCATCACACTATGTTGCAACTTCCTTCTCATGGTTACTGTCTCCAACTGGACTTCTTATTGCTTTCTTCTTGCCACTCTTCCATAAAATCCACATTTGGTCATACTGATAGTCACCATGGGTGTCTTGGCTGCAGCTCTGACCAGTTATCTCCTTGTTGGCCTCCTGGTTGGTTTGCAGTTGGTCCTTTCTCTTTCTATTTCCAGATGATGTGTTGATCAGCCTCCATTAGATGTTTTAAGGATTTAGAAATTATGATATTGGCCAATTCTAATTTGAACTTCTCTACAGCTTTATCCCTGGTCTCTGTGTTGCTGTTTGCTCCCAAATATTCACTGAACAGCCCTCTGAAGGCTGCAACAGAGCAGCTGGAATAGAACAGAGGGGGGTTTACACACAGATGAACTCTATTAGCAATCAGGCACTTTTCATTTATTTGCAAAAAGAAATAATATTTGATTTTTTTTTTAAATCATGTATAACCGTCTTTCTATTTTACGATTATAAATAAGATGATTTTGTTATTTTCACAAAAGATTCCAACAAAACACATTTATGTTTCTGGTTGTAATGTGACAAAATGTGGAAAAGTTTAAGGGGTGTGAAAACTTTTGTAAGTCACTGTATACGACCAATTATCTGCTTGTTAAACCTTAATGAAACTGAGGATGAGGCACTTTTGCACAGTTCTAACACAATATTTAAGCTAAGAGTTTAAACTGTCAGATATCAGTTAAATTATAAACGGAGTTTGAAGCAGGAAGAAAACAAAGTGGGAAGTTTCCTCTCAAAAGGTGCAAAACTGTGACTGAATATTTTCACAATAGTTTTTTTATTCTAGACAAAATTGGGATTTTTGTCATAAAAACAAATATTTAGATCCATTTTAATAAACTCCCCCATGAAGCTGTTCTCCAGGGGGAAGTGGTTGAAGTCTGACTGCTTAGCGGGGGACCGGATTCAGGAAGAGCATCCAGCGTAACCACTTTGCCGAGTCTGAGACCCCTGGAAATGGGGCCAGCCCACAGGAACCAAACAAAACCAGTCCATCTTAAATCCTCATTATAACGATTCTCTAACAACTGAGTCATTAAAGTTTGCTTTTATTTCTGAATAAAACAGCGAGTCCAACAGCGAGGTCAGTCTGCTTCCTGGTTATTAAACTAATGACCAGTTTCCTGTCTGGGGAGGCCGGGGTTCTCCAACCATCCTCTCTCTGTTGTTAACCCCCCCCCCCTGATCTGGAGGGTTCCACAGTGGGACTGAGACCAGAGGAGAAAATCATACGTATGAACTGGAAGCAGGAAACTTTCCAGCTGTGAATATTAACCAGCTGGTGAAGTTAAAACCAAAAGGAGCGTTTCAGTCAGACGCCTTTTAATCACTGGTTTCAGTTTATAACTAGTTGAATTGTGTCAAAACAACATAAAGTAAATCCTCTTCTTCTACCTGAGCTGTGTGATACACACTCAGCTTTGTTTTAAAAAATATGAATATAAAAAAATCTAACTATGGATGTCTGGGGGACAGTGATTGGCCTCCATGTTCTGAATGCTGGCGTACCATAAAGAATAAATGATGAACAGTTTAGTTTGTGCTTCAAGTCGTTGCTCATAGGAAGACGTTACTGGATATAACCTAACGGAATATCTTCAGAACGGCTCCAAATGACACTAAACTCATATGGGCGATTAGAACATGATGGAATAAAGTATAATCAACAGCCCAATGTAAAAAAAAAAAAAAACCGGCGTTCCCCTTTAAGGTTCATCCCAAACTGTAGTCATGACACATCACTGTGACCTCTGCTCTCAGGTGGGATGGCCTTCCCTCTCTAGGAGAAGGCAGCATCATTGGTAAACTTTTATTTACCAAACGCTTCTTGGATTGCTGCCCTCTGACATTTGTACCTTACTTACCCAGAACAGCTTCTTATTCCCTGAGATCCAAAGATCAGCTGTTGCTCACTGTTCCTTTTGCCGGACAGAGCAAAGGAAGAAAGCCTTTAGCTATGCAGATACTTGTGTGTGGAATTTTTTTTACAAAGAAACTGGAAATTGACTTTGAGTTTTTATCTTTAATAGTTGAAAGTGAAAGAATTTGAAGCAGCCAAAAAGATCTGTAATTGTTTTACTTGATATGTTTGTTTGGTTTTGTTTATGTCATTTATTTTAATGTATCTACTTTGCTGCCTCTTGGCCAGGACTCCTATGAAAAAGAGGTTTTTAACCTCAATGGGATTTTATTCCTGGTTAAATTAAAAAATAAAATGAAATTATACTAAGCAGGATGCAGACATCACTAGACTGGATCACTGCAATAAACTGTGACTCATAAAATGTGGAAATATTTTGAAGTTCTATTTGTTTGTGAAGCTTTAATGTTTGAGGCTGATAAGAAGATATAAAACACTCAGTTATTGATCTTCAGCTTCCCTCCGGAGCTTGTTGGACATTTTCCTCTTTCCAAAGAGTCAGAACTCACCGTAAGCGTTCTTCCCACAGATCAGATGCTCATAGGGCTGCAGGAGGCCCCACAGCTCAGAGTCGCTGTTCACGGCTCCGTCCAGCAGCTCCACGGTCACCGCACTGCGCGTCGAGCTTTCCGCCAACCTGGCCACGCGCTGCGCACGTCTCGCAACTTCTTCTGCCAAACTTTCCACGAAAGCCGCGAGGCAAACTGCTGCGTACTCATGCACGCGCACCGAAACGCGCGTTTCCACCATCCACCTGAAGAAGCGGCCCACGGACAGGACGAGCCCGCAGCGCGCAGACTTACCCACGGTGTCCCCGGAGGTCATGCAGAGCAGAGAGACGGCTCTGACCGCGGAGGAGCCGCACCTGTCGGCCAGAGCCCAGCTGAGCACGAGCCGCACCGCGCTCTGCACCTCCAGGCGCGTGCACCGCCTGTGGAGCTCACTGAGCCGCTGCGCCTCCCGGGACACCCGGAGCAAAGCCCTGCGCAGCAGGAGGGACAGTCTGCTGACAGCCTCCGGGCTGAAACACTCACACCCGGAGGCTCTGTGGACCACATCCTGCAGCTCCGACTCCGTCCACGGATAGTCCTCCAGCTCGGGCAGGCAGGCGCATCTGGCCAGGGTGTCCGCCGCGTCCTCCGGCAGCGCGCTCACCGTGTCCCAGCTGGAGGTGGAGCCGCTGCGCGGCCACCATGAACCCCGGAGAGGAGCGCTGACCGACCGGCTGGACGGGCTGGCCTCCCCGGCTACATAACCTGAGTCCAGGCTCAGGTTCTCCAACGTTTTCACCACAGCAGAGTTGGACATGTTATGAGATCCGGACAAGAAGAGACCGAAACGAACTGGCCTCAGGTCAGGATGGAAACGAGCTTTTTAGGCACATCTGACCAATCACACCTGAGGGCAGTGCTGCTCTACAGCGCCCCCGTGTGGCACCAATAAGCACCTCAACTGCCTCCAGCTGTATGGTCAAAAAACAAAACAACTCAGTGATTAATACAGAAGGTACGGAAGAGGATTAGGGCCACTGGAAAAAACAAAAAAAGTTAACTGATTTTTACATTTTATTTCAGTTTAGTATGGGAAAAAGTCAGAATTCGGAATTTTTTCTCAGAATTCTGACTTTAATCTCAGAATAATGACTTTTTTTCCCATACTAAACTGATATAAAATTTAAAAATCATTTAACTTTTTTTTTTTCAGTAGGAAGAGGATTAGGTTCACTAAAAAAATGTTAAAAGTTAACTAGTTTTTACATCTTATTTCAGTATAATATGAGAATTTACAGCCATGTCTGTTTTAGAGACTAAACTATCTCTATTGTTTTAATCACCTTCTGCTCCTCGATTAATGAAATAGCATCACCGGAGGCCCCTCAGGGACGTGAAAAGTTGCCTCATTCAGTCATTTCCCACCAATGTGTTCCTGTTCCTCCCAAACAACTCACATCTTTGTCAGTGAAGCTGAGTGCTCCACATCTCTTCCTTCATGGTGCCCATCTACATTGAGATCAGAAGTTCTGAGATTAAAGTCAGAAGTCTGACTTTTTTCCCATATTAAACTAAAATAATATTCAAAAATCAGTACTTTTTTTTTTTCAGTGGCCCTAATCCTCTTCCATAGATTAAAGATAAATTTAAGTACGGCTGAAACAATTAATCTGATTAATTGATTATTGAAATAATCGTTAATTAATTTAGTAATGATTAATCATTGCCTGGAGTTTAGAGACCCTGACACATGCCTTCAGCTGACAGAGCGACCCACTTAGAGCAAGAATTATATCTCTGGACTTAGTGCAGGAGGTGAGAAACAAAAGGATCCTAACTAAAGTAACATCTCGTTGGATAATGTCTCGCACTCTATGCATGAATTTTTGCACATTTGCTGTCTTTGTCAATTAAATAACATTCTGCTGTTAATTTTTGCTCATCCCTGGTGTTTCTGCTATTTTTTCCACATATCCATTACAGTAAAAATGTCCACAGCTGTATATTGATTATTTATTCTCCACAGTATTTATATTGTAAAAATACTGTACGGTATAGTACTTATAGTACTCTGCCACATATTCTGTTATTTCTATGCACTTTTTAAGGTCCAAAATTATGTGACTTTTGCTGTAATGATTTTGCTGCTTTTAACACAAGAATTTACCTATTGTGGGAAAATAAAAGGATTTTCTATTCTGTCACACGAAGCATTGCTCGTTTTTGGCGAAAGGTAAGTTGCTTCAGGAAATCTTATAAATGAACAACATTGAGTTTCTATCCATCAAAGAGGGATGTTTGGGTTTCCATCTCTGTGACCCACTTTAGGACGGGTAGAAAATGATTAAATAGATGCTTTCGGTAGCTCCTCCATCTAAAGCCTTTCAATCAGTTTCCAGATTGATTTTAGGATCTTTTCTTTTGAGGTTTGAAGTCAACTGTCCCAGATAACGGATCTAAGAACTCCAGCCAAACCAGTCTGTTTCTATTAACTGTGCCAAAATTGAAGGAAACAGATGATTGGACTTTTTTGAATTGCACCAAGATCGAGAGTCATGCTGCCTTTACTGTGAACGGCAATAAATGGTTGACCATAAAAGAAAAACACAAAGCAGATACAAGCTGTATTGTTGCAGAATCAAATCCATCAACTGTTCCTGCTTCTGTTCAACACTAAAGACCAAGAACATGTTCTACTGACGTCTTAGCACTTAAATAGTAAAATATAAACATATTCATATCATAGAAACTGATGGCATCAAAGTTAAAACCCTATTATTATTATTTTGTAAGTTAAAAACCCCTCTAGAACATTTCTACTTACTGTAGCTAATCTACAACTAGAGACGTTCTTTACCTAAAGTAACCACTAGATGTCACTGTTTCCTTCTTTCTAATGACAGGGAGTTAACAACTTTAACCCACTTATGTTTATCTACTGTCAGATTCTAAGAAAAAATAACTTATCATCTCAAAATCTTTTCAACATTATGCAACAAATAAAACAAAATAAAGAGGAAATAAAGAGCAAATTTGCTTTGATCCATAAATAACTGAGCTAAAAGTCCCTTTCTTAGTGTTAGCTCCATGCGTACAATCAGGAGTGAGCCAGCTCACTGTGACACAGCTTCAGTCCAACAGAACTGGCGCCACAGAAGAACTGAAGCCGATCCAAATAAGGCATCCAGATGTTAATATACACAAAAAACCCAAACTGGAACTGGGGCAGTAAACAGTTTATAAAGGCAGACTGAGCAGGTTCACATCTACGTTTGAGATCCAGAGACGTGTTTTAAAGGGTGATGTGTTTCATTCCAGGGAGAAGTCCTAACAGGAGCCCGGTGTTCTGGCTGAAGCAGCAGAACATGAACATGCAGGACCAGCAGAGCTGCAGGTGGAGCCTGGTCTGCTGGCAGCCTGGGTCCAGACTCATCAAGCATCTCTGACTGAAGAGGGAAAGTCCTTCATCCAGAACCTGAAACTTTAGTTTCTACAGGGTGGGTTTTCCTTCCACAGGAAAACCCACTGCTATCAGGAAAAACCAAAAACGCAGAGCAGGATTCTCTATTCCAGAAAAGGAACGCCCGCTTTTCTGTAGAACCCATGAAGGTTCTGGCCCTATTCTGGATATTCAATTCAATCAATCAAACGCTGATTTGGAGCTTCTGGAACAACCTTCCAGGTTATCCAGAACTGCTTTGGATCCATGTCAGGGTGGAAAACCCAGTTATGGTCCAGTTTCATTCAGCTGCTGTTGTTCTGAGGTCAAGATGAAGATTAAGGAGGAAGGTCTTCCTCACTAATGCATCCCTTTTAGGGAAGGGCCTGTATCAGCAGCAAAACAGCCCCTCAGCATGATGCTGCCACCACTGTGCTTCACGCATGGTTAAAGAAGGTCCATGAGGCTAAAAAAAAAAAGAAACATTCATGAACGTTCAAACACAAACATGTTTGGAGGTTCGGGTTTAAAACGACCGTTTCTCTGGAAAGAGGAGATCCTGCTCAGCTTAATCGGACACATCTAAGATCACTCAGCAAGCAGAAACACTTGATAAATCTGGACGCTGCTGCTCTGTTCAGAGCTTCAAACCAACCTGCTGCGGGCGGGAAAAAGGCCAAAGAGCTTCCATGAAAAGTTGCTTCAGTCTAAAACCTCCAGAACCTTCTGACAGTTGAAGTTCTTATTGCTGAACCCAGAAACTGACCCAAACTGAGAGGCTTCAAACATTCAAACCAAGTCTGGTCTCTGATCCAGAACCTGCAGCTCAGGAGCCGCTGGGCGGCGGCTTGGCTCCGCTCTGGTCGCTGCTCCTGGTGGAGGACAGAGTCCAGTCCTGGTCCAGTGGGTCGGTACCCTCTGATGCAGACAGGCTCTCAGACTGAGCCAGAACCAAAGCGGCAGCACCGGACAGGTTGGAAGCTGGATCCCATCTGGGGTCTCCTGGCAGTGGTGGGGGGTCTGGGCTCCCTGGGGGCTGGTAAGGCGGTGGCCCCATCAGCGGGGAGTCATCAGGAGTGAGGGGCCCCTGGCTGTGGATGATGATGGGATCAGGAGAGGGCAGCGGGGCCCCCAGCTGCTCCAAAGCTTCCAGGTCCCTGGGGTCCTTGGAGGGGCTCTGGTCTGGAGATATGGAGTCAGGCTGAGAGGAGATGATGTGGAGACTCAGGCCAGCTCTGGCTGAGGACGGCTGGACCGGGCCCAGCAGAACTGGCAGCTCCTGGCCCAGAGGCTCCCTGGGCAGCTCCTCAGGCTTCCCTGCAGACAGAAACAGAGATGATGGAGAAGATCTTCAGGAGGAACGGAGCTCCAAACCTTCATGGGAAAGGTGGTACCTGGAGGAGGAAGGTCCAGCCTCATCCTCCTCAGCTCCATCATGGAGGCCTGCAGCTGCTGGATGATCAGATCGTCACTGAGGAAGAAGGTCTGAGCGATCCGCTCCTGGAGGAACTCCCTCAGCTCCTCCAGAGACATCCTGAGCAGACGCTCTGCAGGGGGGAGAAGGAGAGCCTCAGCTGGACCAGAACCAACATCCGTTCATCCATCCATCCATCCATCCATCCATCCATCCATCCATCCATCC